AAATAAATAAATACTTATCAGACACAACACACCTTTTGTCGGTCCAGTACATCCTGCGGTGGATCCAGTCAATTGCCAGGCCTTCTGGACAGTCTAAACCATCCGAGACGAGAACTTCTCTTGACCCAATGTTCAGATCAACCCGTTCTATTGTCTTCTTACTTATACTGGCAAAGTACACCTTCAAATAATTGCAAAAATACAAATGGAGATGTTATAATGGATAACCGCAGTTAAACCAAGCAAATGAAGCCATGCAACTCATGACCACTAGGTGTCACTAAGAGTTTGCACATGTTGCTCTCCACATAGCACTTACAGCAGTGGTTCCCAAACTTTTTATCTTCTGACCCACAAAATATTCATTGCAAAAACTTGTGACCCCAAATATTACTGGTATGAGTGCACAAACTTTGTTAATAACCCTAAAAACAAAGGCTACACAAATACAAATACTTATTTTGTGTTTTTGTAATAATTATAGCAAAAATATTACATCACCAATTATTTTATTACCCTTTAAAATGATTTCTGAAGTGCAGTGGTTCCCAAACTAACAAACCCACAAAATAACAGTAGCAGAGGCCTGTGCCCACAGCTTTTTTTGGGATGATAAACATTTGTATCATGTCAACTAAACATGGGTGTAGTAACAATATTTATCATTCTACATTTATACATTTTAGGCAAGTAAGGCAAAAATGTAATTAATATAGGAAAATTTTTTCTGGACCCCACCTTGATGTTTCAGGACCCCACTTTGGGTCCCGACCCCAACTTTGGGAACCACTGACTTACTGTATGTATTCCACTAAGAATGAAAGAGGGAAAAGAACATAAAGCAAGGGGAAAAAATAGTTTTTACTTGGTTCTGGACAGGATCATAGTCCAAAGCTAAGATTGTTCCTCTGGGCTCCTTCAATAAGATTTGATCMTCAGTGCCATCAGGGTTTATTCTTCTCACATCTACCAGATTGGCAACTATTAGAAAGGCTGGAAGCCCTGCAGAACAAGAAWATAGTATTTCATGAATAAACCCACCACAGCAGTATTACCCTTGTATTTKCAGGCAGGCTGTTAAGAGATTACAGCAGAAAGGATGTGTTTCTGTGTGGGCTTCTCTGCCTCGGCTGTCCGCTCCACCATGGGGTGACTCACCGGTTGCAATGCAGCGTTTGCCATCTTGGTGGAGCTGGTAGCCAGGGAGACAACCACACTGCCACCTACTGGGGGTGACGGGGGTGCAGAGCTGACTGCACCCACCCCTGTCTGCTGAGGAGCAGCCTGCAGTTTAATGTGAACACGATAAGGATGATTGCATCAAACTGGTTTAAGCATCGTTTTAATGTTTCGAATGCCCTGTTGTAACGCTTAAAAACAAAAGAAGAAACAATCCTACTGGAGACCACGTCTTAAATTCCAGTCATCATTTTTATGGTGTTGTAAATAAAATCCATCATGATAGTATCTGATAGTATATTCAGCCTTAGATATGTGCACATAAATGTGTTATTTACCAGAGTTTGGTATCACATATATTTTTTAATCAAACAAAATACAGCAAAACCACTTTAAACACAACTGGCAAAAAAGATTATTTTACAAATATCATATTTAAGGGCTTTCTCAGACAACGTAAGAAAAATCACAACGTTTCAGTCTCAGTAAATTTTGAGTGCTTTGTGACCAGTGAGCTGTGCAGCCATGTTAGCATGGCCAGTTTTTGAAAATCATGCTGTTATGTATGTTTACATGAAATAAATATGAGAATATATTCAAATTTATAAGAATAATGTTGTACAGTTTGCTTAAAGGGATGTCCTAACATTTTCTCAAATTGTTGACGTTTAACAAAAGCTTCACTGTGCATCCAAAGCAAGATTATGGTCTTCCAACTGGAATGGAACACTAAACGTCTAATATTGACCAATAATAATAATAATAATAATAATAATAATAATAATAACAATAATAATAATAATAAAAGTCCATACCGGTGCATGCTTGCCCATCCTCCCGTAGGACAGATCCTTCAGGACAAACACAGACAGGACCGTTTTCTGACTGCAGGCAGCCATGGCCACATTGTGTGTTGTTGTGTTCACATTGTATTATTTCTGTTTAAAGACAAAACGGTACCACTTTACAAAAAAGCCTCCACTCATATTGCTTATAAATAGTTTATAGATAGGTTATTATTATCTGTAAACACTTTATAAATCATTAATAAGTGTTTATTATGTATTATTAAGGACGAGAGAGAAGACAAAACTGTCCGGTTTCTTGCCAAATAGTGAGCCAAATCTTCATATTACATCTAAAGGTGCTTTATTAAACATGTCACACCAGGTTTCTACCTTGTAAACACAATAATGATTTGGAAACACATATTTTACATATACCATTGTACTSTGTCATGCATATCCACAATTATGCCCGCACAATCATTTGTACWGTTATTATTCATTGTCATTAGYAATCTGAACAATCATTTGCACTACWGCTCATTTGTATTACTGATCTGAGCAATYRTTTGCTCTGTTATTACCCATTTTAACTTTTTTAAATAATTCTGCAGTAATTGCACATCTGTGTTTCTTGTCTGCAYTGTGATACTTTACAATYAATAGTCTGTTGTGATTGTTTTGCACTGAAAATAGGCAAATTCTAATTACTAATGTCAAATTCTGACAGTCTCTAAGACAAAACATATCTTTTTTTTTGTTCTTGCACAGTCCCTTCTAATATATTTTTATTGT